GATGACGAGATTGTGTGGCTGCCTCCTTATCGATGGATCCAGAGCTGCTGGTTTTATTCTTGTACTCCAGTAGCTCATTATAAACTGAGCGATAGTCTCCCTCTAGGCCTGCATTTTTAAGTAACAAATCTGACTCTCTCGACTTCCATTTCTCTTCACGTTCCTTCTGTTCATCATAACGCTCTTTAATATCACATTTAAGCTTTGATATTTCTATCTCGTAGTCTTCTTTTTGTTCATCGTGACTAATTTTCAATAGGCGTAGCTCTTCATTAACAGATGATAACTTTTCCTTGTTTGAATCCTTGCCTGATGTGACTTGATTGTATTGATACTCAAGGCCATCCAACCTTTCACTGAGATATGCCTCTTGATTTTGAGACTCATCCAATTTCTTCTTTAGTTGCTCAACTTGTAATTTTAGCTCTCGATTAGCTTCTTCAGTAGTTGCAGCTTTATCTTTCATCTCGTGCATAAGTGATGGAGTATAGGCAGCATCAGGACGTTGTGCAACCTGCTTTGCCATTAACCCTCTGCAATGTGCACACTGTATAAGATATAGTTAATATACTTATATATGTACATATACAAACTTGTTTCTCTAGTGTCTCAATTCGAGCCGTTAGATTCTAAATTAAATTACACATAAGTTTACATAGCTCTCTCTCTCATGGCTTAGTCTTACATGATTTTCTCCAATTAGATTGTCATTTTCACGTTTTAGTTTTTTATTTTCTTTATTGATTTCTGAAATATGTATTTTATACCTGCCAACCTATGAAATATGACTGTGTTGAGTACAGAGGGTATACTGACCCATTCATTATAACAACAATGAAACTAATTTCGTTTATATAGCATATACTTAAGACACTCCTCCATAATTCGTAGTACAATTATTATGTATGAATAATAGATTAGGGAAATACTGTATTAATTTTGACCTTTGCTGACTGTATAACCATATAAACCATAATGCAGTATATAACGTTAAGGTCAGGGGCACAAAAATGAGGAAGGGCCTTAGCCATGCATGATAGGAAACCTTACTACACAGTTAAGAGTGATACCTCGAGTGATACATGCCACTATACCTTGCACTGTACATATACAAGACAAAATTCACAAGTGTCTGATTAGAGGCTTGGGTATAAATTTGGTGTGAGTTTGGTCTAATATTAGGATATGCTTTTGGGTCTACTCTAGATAATTGCAGATCAACTAATGTATTCATACTAAAGCCTACCGTCATATTCATACCTCTCTCGTCCTTTCTTCTAACTCTTTCCTGAGCGACTCATCTCCCATTCTTTTTCAGCCACACCCCAATTGTACAATACATACAAAAATAAGAATTATTATTAAAACAACAACAGTATTATCTAAAGCATTGATAAATTTAATATTCTTCTATTCTCTAATTTTCTTTTTCTCTCCTACGATTGTCTTTTTCTAAACTCATTAAACCAGACTGAATTTTTGCCATGTCTTCCTTCATTTTCATTAAATCCTGTTACACGAAGCAAGAAAAAACAATAACTATAATCAGGGTTCACACAGATTTTGGCATAGGCTGTACTATATAGTACAAGACATTTATAAAAAAATTCACAATTCTCAATTTTTACGTTTTTTTCTGATGCATGTACATATCTTTATGTTGTGTATTAACTTTGAGCTGATTTCAATCAAATTTAGATTTTTTCTCAACTTTTAAAGTTGCTAAAAAATCAGGCCAAATACCAGCCTGTACCCCTAGGGACTTTGGCCAAATTTTTTCAAAAATGGCAGTGAGAGAATTCTCCATTGTAATAATTTTTTCTAATACATATACTTGTTTTTATGTTGTGTATCAATTTCAAGCTGATTCCGATCGAATTTGAATTTTTTTAATAAATTTTTAAAGTTGATCCAAATGCTAATGCTATGTACTGCTTGTCAGCATGCTGTTTAGCTCACTTAACAAGATTTGTGGGAAACCCTGACTATAAATATTTATTGTTATAGATCTACCTCATACGTAGGAGTGGATGCAGGAATTGACTCATCATCAATCCATTCCCTTTCATCAGTATAGCTCCCTTTCTTTAAAATGGACTGTGGCTCATCATTGGAGATAGAAAATGAGACACCTTTTTTACGCTTTGGATTCATTTTATCAAAGTCACGTTCAGTCTCAATGATCTTTGATTTTTCTTGTTTTAATTGTTCCTCTAGCTTTTTATTTGTGAATTTCAGATCATCAATTTCATGTTCCAATCGTTCCCTCTCCGTTTTGAAGTTTTTCTCCTTCCTGATCATTTCTTGTATTTTGCTATCATCTCTCTTTTTCTGCTCTGCTTTCTTTCTCAAATCATCAGCTTCTCTTTCTGCATTGTCCAATTGTCTTCGCAAATACTCTTTGTCCCTTTCCATTCTCTTCATGTTCTCTTGAAGCATTGCATCTACAGAAGACAGTCCCTGTGACATCTGGCCTGTATAAAACGATTCAATCCGCTTTCGTAGCTGTTCATTATCTTTGCAGTATTTGTCACAATCATTCCTCAGTGCTTTCTTTTCTTCTTCTAAATCTTCAACTTTGGCAGTCAGTAATTCAAGATCTTTAGCTGTTCCTGGTGATTTGAGCCGGTCTTCATACTTTCGTAATACATTCTTTAGCCTCTGGTTTTCTTTCTCTAGGTCATCATGAAGAATTTGTTGTTGGCCTGGCTGGTGCTAATTTTATTATATCAACAATAATCATAAATAATTGTTTTTCTTACCTTTTCTTCATTTTCTCTTTTATTGTGTAACTACATATAAGGATAAAACATTTTGTCCAAAATTGTTGTACCTTTGTTTCAATCTCTTGCTTTTCATTCATCACAGCTTCAAGCTATAAATGGTTAGCATCATTTGTGAAAGGTATAATGACTATACTTTTATTTCAGTTCTTTTCTTTTGATGTTCCATACTCTAAATTATTAGAATGAAAAGTAATAAAACATCATAAAAACTTACCCTTATTTCGTGAGCCATTTCTTCAACCTGAATTATTATAATTAATGATAAATTATGAATAACACAATATACCTTGGCACCATAGTCTTTGGTTCTTTTCTCTTCAATTTCAAGTTTATACTGTGAATCCTACAACAGAATGATACCACTATTGATCTGTCATACAAATTCATTATACCTCTAAATCTGACTTCATCTTTCCTTTAGACTCTCTCAACTCCATTACCTACCGTATGTACTTCACATGATATGTTCACTAAAAAGGACAATATACAAACCTCTTTCTGAAGTCTTGCATTATGATTGTTTAAAACTTGCACTTGTGACACTTGACCAATGTCATCAAGTCTTTTCTTCAAATTCTCTTTATCTCTTCTCTCACTTTGATATGCCTCATGTAAATCATCATATCTTAATCCCTGGGAGTACAGCAACACAATAATGTTATTATACAAACTACATACCTTAGTATCCATCTCCTCTTCAACCTGTCTCACTTTCATCTGAAGGGCACCTCTCTCTCTTCTTAAATCTTCTACTTGCTGATTCAGTGTATCAATCTAAGCAATAAGAATGAAAAATGAATAATCACTATTAGTATTTTACTCTTCTTCTGAGGTCATCTTCTACTGGATTATGTCTAGGATAAGCAGCTTGTTCATATTTTCGTCTCCATTCTTCACTACTTCTTTT